TAGGTTCTACGAGAAAACTAGTCCTTTTCAGGTCGAAAGAGTTACTCGCGATGGGCATGTCTGTCTGGATATGCTTGACGGCAACCAGAATATGCTCGCCATTACTTGTCCACTTCCAGAAGGAGCTGGGTAAGCTGGCCTACTTATTTTTCATTGGTGTCCTTTACTCGACGACTTAGGACTCGGCCTTCTAGCAAAGAAACACCCGGCCACTGTGGACGCAAAGAGTTTTCGTAAAATAGATGGAGGTCGCCAATGGAGTGCTACCATAGGCTGCCTGACGTCTGTTGTATACGAATACAGATGTTCAGCGCGAGACGTGATCGATACTCATGTTTTACATAGGCGGCTGAATCTTAGTCTGCCAACTGTGGCGCAACCCAAGGAGGGGCTTAACTTCCATTCGATAATTTTCTATTCACGGACTAATTAGTTTCCTGGAGAGCTCCACCACGTTGTCTTGCAAAAGAATTCCGTTGGCAGAAGGTCATGGCGGTGTAGTGACAGGGGCCGCTAATCGCGCGCACGGTACGGGGTCTAATTCCGGATCTGCTTCCGCCCATCAGCTCAGGCTTAGCAATTCTTCTATCTCCTCGCCCTCTATCGAATGATGGGCCGTATCCGGTCCACGTCTGCCAGAACTTTCATCTCTGCCTCTTAACTCTTTGCGAAAATTGCATGTCAGGCTAAGGTAATGACTTGTGCACTGGGTTCCCGAAAATATCTGGGCCACGTTGCATTCAGATGACCCTGAGATTCTATTTTGAAGCGAAATACGTGGCCCATACAGAAAATTTTGACCATGACCGCATGCTTTATCCTTTTATTGCAGGTACACCTCAGCGTTGTCGGATTCAAATCATCCAAGGCAAGCAAAGCAGTGCTGGGCCAGTGCTGTGCAACACGGAGAGTATGGCCACTCAGCAAACCGGCGATGAAATCGGTGACGGGTCGACCGCCTGCTTTTTCCGATTGTGTCGGTTTCGTCTCTTCCGTGGACCTCAAGTCATCCGGTTACAGCGACAAAGCGAACGGCATCTGTTGCCCGAATAGAGGTGACAGTTGACGAGAGTGTCCTTGAAGAACGACTGTAAATAGCATTTTCAGCATTTACCTGCATCCAGCCGACGGCCACTGGACCAAATCCGACCGAGCCACGATGGTGGTATAACTCAATCACTGGTAAGTGCTGAGTGGGATCTCCTGTGAGGGATGACAAGGGTCCACAGATTCGGGGACTGGGGGAGGGGGGGGGTTAAAAATTGAAGGATAAAGTTTTTGCCGCCGGTCAACCCCTTTGTGGGATGCGGCATGAATTCTAGTTCCATTCAGAATTAGTAGCTTACTGAATGCATGTGGCCTAGTGACTACAGTGACTTGCCGGGGCTAGCCGGTGTACAAATTAGTTTTTATTCTACCCGAAGGAATCTGGTAAGCAATTTATGTCCCGCGGGGTGGGAGATTTGTTTGGCCTGGGCGATAGTCCCCGGGATTTGAACACAAAAGACATGCGAGTATATAATCGTGTCAGTTGTCATCAAGTCACCGTCAGTAACCGTGTCAGTTGTCACCACGTCACCTCGGTCTCCCTGTATCTTGGGGAATATTTCGCAAAAAAAATTAGACCCGCTCTAAGGAAACGGAATGAGCCTAATTCTAATCACCCCCTGAGAGCTGATTTCTTTATTTTAGGTAATACATTCAGAACAAATCCTCATGGTTAGCCCAATTAATACGCTCCTCAAGATAGGAAGGGTCACATCTATTTTTCTGCAAAATCTAGCTAAGAGATGAAATTCCAGGAATGTGTCAGCAATTCTTGTGGGATCCAACAGCTGTGGGACCAGGAGAGCATTCGCCGAACAATTTCAAGACGATAGAACACTGCGAGAGCTACTGCAGAGACGGTACGAATGACAGTTGACCTTTTCTGTTACAAAAAGTCTTCCTTGGGGTAATGGAATGAAGTTCTGAATGCCTCAAGTATTATTTTTGGAATGGAAATGAGTCAATCTGGTTAAAATCTTTTGGGAATAGCTAAAAAAGACCAATATGGAACAGGGTCTCCAATCGAATGTATGGCTTCAGGCTGCACACGAGGTGCTCCTGAGTACGAGTCCCGTCTGTCGTTCCATGAGGAAACACCAATCACCGGCTGCTCGCAGTCGACGACCTGCTCGAACAATTTTGAATGCAAGACTGTGGGCAGTTCACAATGGTGTTGCCCCAGTGTGGGTAGGTTACCCGCTTTTGATCACCTTGCGCGGTTCTTCTCTCAGTTCTCTGTTTCAGCATCTGTTTGCGGCCCTATCGGCGGGCGACCGCTTGATACTTCCATTTACTCCCGTGGCTCTGTCTATCACTCAGGTGTCGAAAAGCAGGTAGATAGGGGTAGAGCATCATTTTTAATAGAGACATTTCAGGCGTAATTTCAGGGCACAGCTCCTTCGACTCGTTTCTTCTACGACGTAGCGACTGGGAAATGCTCTCCATTCACGTACCTTGGAGCTGCAGGGAACTACAATAACTTCCTCTCGAGAATTGACTGCGAGCTGTACTGCGCCAGACGTAAGACCATAAATGATTGCATGTTCAAACAACAGGAGAGAATGGCCCGTGTTATATACCGCTTTTAGATTTGTTTAGATTTGTTGATTAAATTTGTTTGCTCTACCGGGAACCCGCTGAAATTCTATCACGGCAATGTGCCAACAAAAAAAGAGGAAAAGTTTTAATTACCACAGAATGGACTCAAAAACCGACTGCCAAAGGGGGTGGACTACAATGAGAAGATGAACGGTTTTCGAGTCCATTCTGTGGTGATTACACTCCTCGAAATCGACCCCATTGTACTAGATGATACCAACTACAAAGGACATCGCTCTACAGAGGTAGTTCACTCGAGAAAGAGCCTTTTCACTCAAATCAAAAATTAGACTTGGAATTCTATGCGATTTCTCCGGATTTCAAATAGAGTTATAGGGTGGAACCTTCCGAAAAATCATCCGACTCTACTTGGTAATTTGCTAAACGTTTGCTAGCCATTGTATCTACCCATTTTATATGATAGGTAAATAACATTTGTAGTAATGGGAACGGGGTTTGTTCCATCACTGAGCTGCTCATATTACTCTATGTTGATCGAATCGTATGTAATAGATAGAGTAACCCAGCGAAATCAGCACCACTGAGTCCACCCGCTCATATTTGCAGGAGGGGTGGTGGTTTTGCAATAACGCCCCGCTATACATAGACCTGGTCGAAATAGAAGTACAAAGTCGACAATAGAGCGCAATATGAATCGCTCAGTAGAGGAGCGAAATCCGTCCCTGATTACTGCATCAAAATCCTGAACCAATGAGCGCTTACCTTTTCGTTACCTATTTCCGTTACTATTCCACTCCGCATGAAGTCGCCGTTTGCAGGTGTTACATATTTGGAAGGTGCGGTTAGTTGGCAGAGCTGATTTTCGATACTACCTCATTATTCGTTCCCATCAGTGGTTCAGTAATTAAAAGTAATAGTGAGAAAAAAGGGTCACTGAAGTGTGTTACAGTACCCAGGTATTGGTCCTGTGATTTTCCCTAAGGTTCCATATTTCAAGGCAAACTAACATACCTCCCTTACTACGCCACCCCCCACCCACGGCAACGTTCCTTATCAGCCCTTATCAGTTGTTATCACCTTCCGTCACCCACCGTCGACGTCTTCACCCCCCCCCCCCTCTATATCACTTGCTGGAATCAGAAGCCTATGATTCTGACACCGTGTCCCGCGCTATGAATATGGTGGCCTTCCCACTCTCCTTATCAAATCTAATCAGCTGCTAGCAGTTCTTGTCACCCACCAATAATTTTCCTGTGCCACACCCAATATCATGTCTTGGAACTATTGTCACACTATTGCTGTGATCCGTGCTATGAACTCGGTGACTTTCCCCTTCTGACGCCTCTTATCAAAGATTATCAGCTGATATCACTTCCTGTCTCTCACCAATAATGTTCCTGTCCCATACCCTCTATAACGCCTTGCAATCAACTTCCCACAGCTACTGGGACGGTCGCTATGAATTTCGTGACAGACACACACGGGACAGACATAATCAGCGAATTATACAGGGGGGGGGCAAAAAATGTCACTTCGACCGAGTCACATATCAGCTGAATTTGTTCGCAGCCGGAGAGAGAAGACGTGAATGACGAGTGAAAGCCAGGGCGGAGGATACCCAAGATGTTCTCGATAAGCAGGAGCTGGCCACCTCGCCCATCACTTTCATGTACACCAAAATATGAAGTCATCTCCAGTCGCAGCTGACTGGAGAAGACCCTTGCTGTTCAGCGTCCAAACAGCCTTGGCGAACTTTCTGGTATGGAGTCACCCATATGAAAGTCTAGCTACCTGAGACCAGTACTTTTTTTCCCTTGATCTGATGGCCTCCAACATCGAGCAGCTCCGACAGCGTCGCCACGGCCTAGCACATCATCTTCACCGCAGTCACCAAGGCGCGATTGATGATGGATTGGACCGGACGTACCTGGAATGGAAAGACCAATATTTTCTTCGTGGACCCCGGACTGAAGGTGAGCGCTGGCGGTTACATTGGGCAACTCGTGAAGAAAATATCTCCTCTCACAGAATGTGGTCGCCCGTACCTTCTTGGAAACTTTGTACTGCTACAGCATTGAGTGCCACCACATGAAATCGAAGGGCGTTGGAGAAACACTCGCCTACTTGGAATGGAAGGGGCTGAGTACCTAAAGAAGATGGAATATCCAAGTAGGTCACCTGACCTGAATCCCCCTCAATTACCCGGTTCGGGCGGAGTAAACAATGGGTGGTCTACGGTGGCGGAGAAATCGACTATCTCGCTGATCTCAGGCACCACATCGCGGTCGCGTGCCAGAATCTCTCGATGGCGCTCGTCCAGAAGGCTGTGGCGGAGTGTCATGATAGTATTTGATATGCTCTTTAATATGGAAATGTCCGATCAGAATTTGATAAAGTGTAACTTATAGCGCCTCGAAAGTCAATGAAGGAAGTGACTTTTTTTTGCCCCCCCCGCTGTTATAAACAGCTTTGAGGTAGCTGCGTCATTTCCGTTTTTTTAAGGATTGATTTGAGGAGGGGCAGTGGGGTATGCATGCTCCTCAGGACTCCTCCCTTTGGACGTCAAGGGAACTGGGATTCTACAGGATCCCCACAGGGTCCGATGACCGATGCTGATTCCGGAGACAAAAAGATTGCATGGGGCTCAGGCCGCCTGTTTGCTTCACTACCCGCCTGCGAAATGGGTTCATGTGGTGCCCTCCACGTGCGGGTAGCTTTTTGTTACTCCTTTGCATGGTCCATGGTCCTAAGCCCTCTGTGAATGGGCGAAGCTGCATCTTTTCAGTAAATTCGCTTTACGTCGCTGTTTTGTTTTTTCCTTCGCCTTTCAGGAACGCATCGCGTTGTGATCGTTTTCTGAAAATTACGACCCCCCAATTCCATACTAAAATACGACCCCCTCCCCCTTTTTTGGGAGTTGGTACGACCCCCCCCCCTCTCCCCTCCCGCCCTCTGTCCTTCCTCACCTTCCTCATCGAACGAGCCGTCGAGTAGAAGGGTGGGGGGGGAGCGTCAGATTAACTATCATCTTTTCAGAGTTGTCGGAAATAGTAGTTGCGTCCCTGGACTGACCAAATACGACCCCCTCCCAAAAATGACCAAGTACGACCCCCCCTCCCCTCCCCTTACAGCGTCCGTGAAACAAGAGAAATCAACTATCAAAAAAATTGTTTCTCTGCAAATACGACCCCCCCCCTCCCTTCGCGGTCAGCATACGGCCCCCGACCGCCTCTGATGATCACTACACGATGGCGTACCCTGTTCGCCTTGAATAACACGTCGCAGTGCGTTGCACCTTATGGGGACGTGTAACGGGGTGTCAATGTTGCCGAGTCAAATTTTTGAATGAAGGGGCTGCCATGGAGAAATATTAAGCTCGGTAATTTTTGGGTGCTCCTACAAAGTAGGAGCATAGTAACTGCATGTCGTGTATTGTAATTTGGTAACTGTTTGAAAAGTGTTATCTTCTTACCAGTCGGATCGCCCGGCTGTCGCCGAGCGCTCCTCCTTCTGTGACATAGCCAGGCTTCGCCGGGCTGACGCGAATATTCCGCGTGCTAGATTACGAATCGTTGACCAACCATACGGTTCGAAGGATTGTTCTGCATCAGCCGAGAACTTAAAGCACGCAATCAAGGAGAGCCGGTCTTGTCAAGACACAGAAGCAGCAGCAGTTCCCGCGCATCACAGAAGGAGGAGCGGGCGGGCCTTAGCCAGCGATCTAACTGGTACGTTCATACACGAATACAGCAGCCTGTCAGGTTAACCGCAGAAGGATCCTACTGCTTCATGCATTCTCTACTCCCGATGCACTTCTGCATTCAGCGGTGGAACGCTTCGAATGGTCTCTACTAAGGTTGTTGATAAGAGAGACTTATGGTAAGAGTGATTAAGTCTATTGCTGATGTTCACAACATCTCTGTAAACAACCGCCATGCATTTGGAATCGAGCTAGCTTGGCGGTCGTACATGATGTCGTCGTTGGTAAGCAGTGAGGAATAAATTGTGTTGAAATGAGTGAGATCGTGATACAGGGGTTATATCGATGCAATGTTTTGTGAGTAGTGTAGCTGATTTTTCCATGTCAGCTTTTTACTTTCACCTCATAGCACCTGTCCCCTTCCTGTCGCCCGCCAATAATGTTCCCGTCCCACCCCCTATATCTTTTCTTTGCCACTGAGACTTGTATTTATTTCAAGAAGATCCACGATCTCGGATAAGTTATGTTTTTTTTTCGTTTTGTCAAAATGACATTTTTCTTACTTTGGCAGAACATGAAATTCATAGATGGAAAGGATAAAAGCTCGGGATACATAAAAGTGGCTTTGGAACTGTGAACGCACGGGATTTCATTGCCCTAGTCTCAACAATGGGCTTCCTTCTTCCTGAAAATCCCGCGTTTATGTTGTCCAAGCACTTGAATTTTTCAGTACAGTGTGATCGTGGCAACCCTCTACGTATCGGAGACCTCACCCAATCGTGCCAGTCGAACAGCGATTGTCCTTCATCTCATGAGTGCAGAGTTGATCAGTCTGTTTGCTGCCCACGAATGCGTAAGTCATTTGGCTCCAGGCTATTTCCGTTCGTATTCGAGTTGAGAACAAGTCCAATCATATTCAAGTGCGATTACAGAGACGATCTGTACTCAACCACTACGTGTGGGGAACTGTGATCGGTCCGTGAGAAGATACTGGTATTCGGCAGCTACAAGAGAGTGCCAGTCCTTCGAATACACAGGTATTTTCACGGAAGGTTCCCTGCTCCCAGGACTCGTTCAGATAAGGTTTTTAGGATGTCAAGGGAACGATAACAACTTTGAAACCTTAGTCGATTGTCAGACTTTTTGCAGAAATGCGGCACGTAAGTATATCCATTAGTGCGCCTTTAAAAAATGAATTTGTGGCTACATGACAGTGCTCCTTTTCAAGCTCACTCAATCTGAAACATTTCAGCTGAACCCCGATGTCTACAGGGCCAAGCCTATAAAGACAGTTCGGGTAAGTTTGTCACCTGTTCAACCAACCGCGCTGCTTCATCGTGTCCAGTCAACTACGAATGCTATCACGATGGCAACATGTTCGGCTGTTGCCCCACAAAAGGTTGGTGGCAAATCCAAATTCACTAGCTTACTCTAATGAAAAAGAGACCCATTCCAGCTTTTACGTGCTCGCTGATGTCAAATCCGGGGAAGACCTGTGGGCCAGGTGTCTCGTTCAAGTTCTACTACAATGCCCAAACACAGGTCGGCCAAAGTTTAGCATCTCTGAAACTGCACGTGTTGTAGCTGCATATTCCTGACCGTAAAGGACGAAGAGCACGGTTTTCGACAAGGTCTCATCGCTAACGCTAACACATCAAGGGCGGTATCGCAGTTTTGAGGAATCACCTAGAGACAGCGCCCACGATCACTTAGGCTGGGTTCATACCTTGCGGCAGCGTCCACCAGCGTCTACCAGCGTCCACTAGCGTTCCGAGCGTCCGGCAGCGTCAGCGACTAGGAAAGTATAGATATCGATCTAGCGTCTACCAGCGTCCACCAGCGTCTCTGAGCGCTC